TTCTGTTTATCTGTTTTCACTTCAACACTGAGGAGTTCAAATGCTTCGGAAAACTGAGTAACCAATTATAGAAGTTAAATAAATCTACTTATACTCTTTTTTTAAAAAAAAATATTTAAAGGTGAACACAAACAGAAGTGGCCCTGAAGACTTTGGATTTGTTTTCTACAGAATGGCACCGGACCCCACCTTCTCTGCTCAAAGCTCATACCTTTCTGATAAACTTACCTGTTGTTCTACCACAGACTGCCCACATAGTCTGATCAACAAGTACTTCATACATAAGCGAGCTGCGCACACTCTCACTGACACGCTCAACTGTCAAATGCAAATGGCACATAGTACTTGCACGACAAAACTCACTACCTTTGGATGGTTCAACTTTGGCACTTTCAATGATTAATGTCTGCGCCAAACAAAACAAAAAAACAATAAATAAACTGTAAGGTTAAATTAATCAGGCTTAGATTAAAATATAAAAACATACTCTGTAATCATTGATATCAAATGAACACTGATAAAGTCTCTCCTGGGAGTGGCTGTCAGTGACTGGGAGGTAAAACATGGTAAAGACAGCCTGAATAGGACTGTCCCCTGTCTCTTCTTCTTCCTGCTTAGCCACTTCTAACTCCCACAGCAACACTATATTGAAGCCTTGGCGGATCATCTACCATTACAAGAGAACACAGAGAAAAAAATACATTTTAATTTGATAGAAGAAATTTAAAATCATACAATGACGGAAGTTGAAGGAAAAAAAACTATATGTACCAGTGGCTGTCCTGCTGTGGGATTCAAGGGTAGCAGTCGAACAGAGGAGCAATCACCCTCAAGCCTAAGTTCCGGCTTGGTCACTTGGAGAAAACTCTTGGTCAATCCAGTGACCAGCACCTGAGCAAACTTGCGGCGGTGTGAGGTGTGAAGGCGGAGGCTCGTGCAGAACGGGGGGTGGAACTGCAACACGGCTGGCTGTGCTTCTACGGACCATGGGCAATCAATATCAACCTATGAACAACAAAAAGTGGCATGTCAACAAAGGTACCACAACGAATATAATTGCACTAGTTTGGATTATATTTTTAAGGATCAATAATTTTTTGGGAAAAAAGCAGCTAAGACAACAATACTTTTTTTTCTTTCTATTATGTTTCAACAGTTAAGGGCTTTCAGAAATTCTGAAATTATTTGTACAGATTTAAGTAATGAAAATTTTGTACATGACCTTGAAATAAGAAAGATTTTGTAACATTTACCTTGTGTTCAAGCACACTGTTATCCTTTTGAGACCCAAGTCTCGCAAGAACCCGCAGTGGGTACTGTGTGGTTTGGAATGGGCCAGTCTCAGGAAGAGCAACTTCCAGCTTGCTCAACAAGCACTCATCATCATCAGTAAGCTGTGCTTGCAACCCCTCGGTTGGTCTGAGAATAAGTTTGGAATCCTAGAAGGAATTTTAATTTAAAAGGATGTTAATTTTAATAATTGTCTTCTATTTCCAAGATTAAAAAGAAAAATTATAGAAGAAAGAATAATTGTATAATTACCTTTTTAATCCAATGGCTGCCTGTGTTAACAATGAGAGTAACTTCTTGGTCAATACCAGCAAGAAGATCTGAAGTTAATGCTTGAAGAGAAACTGTAGGGGGCTCACTGGTCACTTCAAACCCAACACCACAATGTAAAACATTTGACAAAAATTCTAGGTGGCCTTCACACAATTTAATGGACATCTGTCCGAATTGAAATTTTCCAGGTTCTGTTACCTACAGTTTTGTATAACAAAATTCATGCGCATTAAAAGTGAGTAAATCTGTCAAGATAAAAGTCATTTAAAGTAATATTTTTTTAAAGTGTGCATGTACCTTGGCTTGGAGAACCAATGTGTTTTTGCCCGGCTCTAACATATTATTATCAGTTGAAGCACATAGACTAAAATCTGTCTGCAGACTTGTAGTGATGTTGCGATGATTGCCTTGGCTATCAGCTCGCCTGAAATTTAATGTTGTATAAAGTTTTATGATCCACTTCAAGTCATCGCAATAGTTCCAATCAATCAATCAATCAATCAATCAATCAATCAATCAATATATGAACTCAAGAAAATCTTAATTTTGAGGGACTTGCCTAAGAAAATACCGCGAATCTCTGCATGTTGCCCAAGCAGCTTTCAGACTTTGGTCCTGTTGGTAGTCTAAGCACTGACTCATTGAAATTCTTGACAATAAGGGGTTGTTGGGAGATTTATTTATCAGGCAACTTCTGCAAACACATAATAAAAGAAAGCAATAAAATAGAGGTGAAATACTCATTCACATTGAAATCTTAATATACTGTATAATGTAATGTTTAGGGAGTTCAGGTTGACATCACATACCTCTTGAGGAAAAGTGGCTCCTCAGTCTGAGGGAGAGACGAGGAACTATTGGAATGTTTTTTGTCAGCAGTTTCACTTGGAGGTTCCATTTTAGAAATCTTTTCCAGTGATAGAGCAGCCTGCTTGAGCGGCATGGAGCGGGGAAGGAGGCTTTGAAGCTCAACAACAATCTCGACAATCCCTCCAACAACAAGCTTCTGTTTATCTGTTTTCACTTCAACACTGAGGAGTTCAAATGCTTCGGAAAACTGAGTAACCAACGGTAGCCCTAGAGATTACAAAATTTAAAGAATTGTCTAATTATAAGTCTTAAAATAAATTATACAAATATCAAAAGTCAACACAGACCTGTTGTAATACTGGAAAGCACCTCAACCATTTGATTAAGATAATACATTCTCCTCTCCACATCCAGTTCATGAGAGCAAGCAAGAGATGCACATGTTTTAACATACCTATCAGATAAATAAGAAAATGTGTATTAAAAATAAGGTTGAAGGGGCAACCTGAAAAGCCAGACAAAGGAGGTAAATTACTTTTCTTTGTCATCTGTGTGGCGATAACACACAACAAGTTCTTGTCTTGTCTCTACAGCCAGAGACCGCCAGCCTTCCACCTCAAGCATTCTCAGGGCTGCATCCAGGAAGAGAGAGGCTGTCTGGTAGTCACCAAGCCTCTGGTGAAAAGCGGCTAGATCTCTCCCTATCACTCTTGCAAGTCTAACTCGGTTAATATGTTTGAATGTCCCCATTGCCAGTTCTGCAAATTCCTAGAAATACAGAGATAAGACTTTCATTATCTTTTCTGAATGGTGGATGCAATGAAAATGTTGCTCAGAAAAATCAGGAAGTCACTAGCATCTTTAAATATAATACAGTAAAAGTTACCAAATAATGTTTCTTAAATGCCTCATTTGAGGATAATGCTTCCTTGAGTTGGTCAGTTGGTGTAGGCTCATCGCTTAGAGGCACATCACCCATGCCTGCAGAAAGGCCAACAACCAAGTGAAGTTGTTCACTGGTAGGTTGCATGCCAGGAAGGAGGCCACACAGCTCTCCAAGTTCTTTTAACTGTAATTTAATTATTTTTTTTTTTTAAAAGGCACTTAATTAACATTTCACTATTTTTAAATGACACGATTAGATCTGAAAGTACCTTATCACTTGCGTATGCCCAAAGACTGGCAGTAAATCTTGAATACTTCTGGACCTGAGTGCTGTCATTAAATTGTTCACATGTCCGCAAGACTTCCAGACATCCCAGGAATACCCAACAGGCAACCGATCCTGGAGGACAAGTGACCTCAAGGATCCGCAACTCAGCTATGCAGTTGTGTAAAAATGGAAGAGTTCGCTTTGCTATCTACAATTAAAAATTTTAACAGTTTGAATGACTAATAGTCCAATAATTAAAAAGGGGGAAAGGGTTCTGTTCTAAGAAAATTATTTTAAGAAAGTGTTAACTTAAACACAAAACATGAATACACTACCTCCCAAGGCTGAAGTGTGAGCAGCAGCATGGCACTCTGCCTTGCAAAGAGATAACTTCTGAACTGCAGTAGAGAAGCCTGGGAGTCCTGGATGAGGAGCCGCTGCTCCTGGTTGACTTTGTGAGTGAGCTGAAGGCCTGGCCAAGACTCAAGTGGACCTTGGAAGGAACCTAGCCAGTTAGGAGTTTCTGCCTCCCCAAAAAAGATGATTAAAAATCAAGATGGTAAAATGAGGTAATTGAATATTTCAAAGATATGTTGAAGGTTATAGATAGTTTACCTCCGACAGAATAGTTTAAAACAAACTGGGTAAATAATGCATCTAACTCATCATACTGCACAAGGGCCTCTTCAAAAAGCCCTAGCATTTCAAGCACAAACGCCAACTCCTCCTACAATGATATGCCAAATACATTTGAATGAGAACTTGTAACCATACCATGGAGGAAAGTAAGAGAAAGAACAAAACTTTAGCATACCTGCAGCAAAAAGTATTTACAGAAACTCCACCCAGGCTCTATGCGACGTTCCCTTTGTTTTCTAATGGTTTCCTCAAACCTTACTAAAGTTGTATCATATGCTTGTAAAAGTAGAACTCGTATTCGAGAGAGCAAACCCCTCCAAGTCTCAGCAGACTTTGATTCACTTCGAATAGGATTAATCACAGATATACATCTGTAATTGCAATTAGATTCTAAATTAGAGGAAAAGTGTTTCTTGTGGCTCTCTAGTTAAAATTAAAGACAAAACAACTACCTACCGATCAGGATGTTTGGAAGCAAAGTCACTTCTTATTTTATCGAGCACTGTCGTGCGAGGCAGAAGTTTGTTACTTCTTTTAATGTCATAGGTCTCTACTTGCACAATCAACCAGTCGTCAATACCGAACTTTTGTAAGGTCTTTAACCACAGGTCTATGTCTTCACGCACTGATGTCTTGTATATATCGACGTCCTATAATTTAAAGAGAGTGGCTGTAATAGATGAGCAATTATTGGGTTGAAAACGATTTAGACTAAGTTTGCACTTACAACACATTCTGTCCAGTAAGTATGAAATATTGGTAGGCCAATGAGGTGCCAGTCTCCTTCTTTAGGCAGTTGGCTACGGTCAAAAGGTGAAAATTCTGCCTCCGTGAAAACAGATTTGACAGGCCTTCCATATGACCTTTTCCACTCAGTCGCCTCCTGTGGAATGCGTTGCACAAGCAGAGCTTCCAAGCTGGAGAATAGAGTTTTGTCACCCGCATCTGACGGAGAGAGGAAGGAATGCTTTTAGTTCAAAGCAGGCTTACTGAACATTTGCCACGGAACTACAGGGCTAGACAGGGTCGAAAGAATGTCGAGTGCTGTAGGCTATAGTCTAGAATTAAGTCATCTTGACATAGAAATGTAATGTAAACACGTAGGACTCACAGGTGACTATGGGCTTCGCGTCCATGACACTGAACTCATTAGGAGGGGCCTGCTCGGGCGCCCGCCGACCTGCCTCCACCACCCTGCCCATGACTCTCAACCAGGAATACGAACTAATCAAAACAAGAGGTCATGTCGCCTCCCATTGCCGAAACACACGTCAACTAAAGCAACAATAACCTAGTTTTCAGTCATTAACTAATTTGCCTATTGTCCCGGGGCTATGGGGCTGGTGCAGACAAAACACACAAAACGTATCGAAACCTGTCAACTGCACTCGAAATAATTACAATAATGACAGTGAATCTGGTACAGAAATAACATGACAGACAGCAGTAGAGAACCTAGATTGAATTGTTTAGAATACGTGAACTGAATGAACTGAATGACATGAACAACAACATATGAACTCCACATTTTCCTTCGCCACTCATGGATTTGTCAAGAGCAAAATTAAATGCTTGTGTTAGTTAACTTGATTGTGGAGGAAAACGGGCTGTAAAATCATCGAGTTCGCGAAATAACAACCGGTGATGTGTATATATTTCGTTTTGGCAGTTGGTATGTGAGATGTTAGCAGACGATCCCGGTCGCGCGGTTCGTGCTGGTTCGTGCCCGCTCGGATGTCGTGAACCCGAACCTTGCCCGAAGCCCGAACAGACTCGGCGGCCATGCGATGAGTCCTTCGTCCTTTCAGAGTAATCCATCTAGGAGGCAGAACGGAACGAGGAACGGGTGGGCTGGTCGGGCTGGTGACAGGCTACACAGCAGCTGCAGCTGTTCGCCTGCGCCTGACTGCTAGAGTTGTGAGAACAAAGTACCCGCACCTGGTAGTCGCTCAAAACTTGCCGCAGCTGCAGCTGTGTATACTGCAGCTGTGCAGCTGGCCTCTGAGTACCATGTAGACTACCTTCTTAACTCTCCTCTTGCACACTGACGTATTGTTGGTTATATACCAGTCATGTCTCTCCGGACCTATTTGTGCGAGACGGTACGTCCAGTCCAGCTGCAATCTTTTACCAAATGTCTTTAGTGCATGTCGATAATAGAGATGACGGGCTGACCTGTCCTGCATTGGGCTCCGCCCGTTGCATTGGGCTGTTGGGCTGTGCGAGTTGAAACTTCTGCAGCCTATGTACTGCTGTCATTGTTCTGCTTATTAATTGTATTTCTTCTGAGAGAAGAGAATTTGCTCTTTGATTGTTGCTATATAGGTAGTTTTAATTTGATCAGACATTGACTGTCAACTATGCTGCAGATCTGTTACAGTTCAGTGGACATTTCCGTTAAATCCCTAGTTTAGAAAATAAATCTCTGATTTGCAGGTTTCCTGTGCTGGAGATTAGAGCATGAAAGAAGAAGACTGATCAATGCCAATGAGGAAAAGAAGGAAGGATAATGACTAATTGCTTGCGGATGACTTCAAGAATTGCTGTGAATTGATAAAAGCTCTGTCATAGCCACAGAAGATTTATGAATGAAAGGGGTAAATTGTTTTGAAGCAAGAAGAAATCAGAGAGATGCCTTATGCCAATATATTCGCTGCCAGTTTAGCTGATGGAAATGGAGGGAGAGCAGCAGAAACTTTGGCTGGAAGTGGGTCAAGTTTTATGGAAAACATTTCAAACACCCTAGTATCTGGGAACCCATCTGCCTCCATGGGGGTTACACACTATGAGAAAGCAAGCACATCAGCTAACCCCTTTCTCTGTGCAAAAAATGTATCGTTTATATCATCAGTGTTTGATATCTCAGTGTGTCCTCAATGGTGCCCGGTGAATCATATGTATTTCCAGCTAGCCAACACATTCTTCTTCCTTTCTTACCTCGCTCCGAGCGGCCTGTATGGTCTGGTATACCTGAGGTGCACTCATCTGATTGGGTGTGCCCTGTTTGCTCTCTGGGGCTGGTCAGTGATCTGCTCATTTGATGCTTTCCTATGGAATGCAAACTTTGTTGTCATCAACTTCATTCATGTGTGTGTACTGCTCTACCGCCTGAGACCCATTAAGTTCTCTAAGGAAGTGGAAGAGGTAAGTAGCACTGAACATAAGGAGTGAGATGACAGAAGGTCATGGGCCCTTTCCCTAACTGACTCCTTTTGTCCCAGGTGTATGCTGCTCTCTTTCAGCCCCTGAAAGTTTCAAGGCACCAGTTCAAGAAGGTACTGGACTGCATGAAGATGATTAGACCACTTAAGTACCAGGAGGTGTATGCCCAAGAGAAGGTCACCAAAGTGGACTCTCTTTCCCTGGTCCTCTCTGGCAAGTGAGTGTCAAAATGGATTTACTACTGCTGTACTTTAAAGGAACAACGACGTACATAATGACTACTGTTTACTTCACAGGTTGGTTGTGTCTCAAAACTTTCGTGCTCTGCACATTGTGTTCCCACACCAATTCCTTGACTCCCCTGAGTGGTTTGGAGTGTCCACAGACGAGTTCTTCCAGGTAAGCCACAGTAACTGGGAAGTAATCAGGAATATTGGTCAAATTTCATAATCATTGTACTTACAATTCAAAGATTTTTAATATCTAATTATGACTTTTTAAGTTATTTTACAAGGCCTCTAGACATGCAATTAATTAGACATTTCCATGGTTTCTATGTCTGTCTGTAATATTCTTCTCAGACTGCTTTTTATCTATCTATTGTGTCTAAATGAGTGCTTTTGGTTTTAGGTGTCAGTGACGGCCATGGAAGAATCCCGTGTCTTGCTGTGGCATCGAGATAAACTCAAATTGACTATAATCACTGATTCCTTCCTTCAGGCTGTCTTCGACCACATTCTGGGAAGAGATGTTGTCAAGAAACTCATGCAGGTTAGTTCAAAATATTACTAGAGCATGTGTGTACTAAAATTTACTGAATTATTTTAGGGAACCCTTTTGAAATGTTTTGTTTGAATTTTACTATAGTTGTCTATAGATTATTTAGGATGTATTTTTTATACAGAATGTGGTTTTTGCATGAATATCAGAAAGACCCCATGTATTTAAAATTTATATTTTCCATGTATACCAAATAGAGATTTTTGGACTAGTTCCAAAAACCTTATGTTTATTTTGTATATATATATATATATTTGAGTTACTGTACTGTACGTCCTGCAGAATCATCACACTGATTATACCTGCTTTGAATGCTAGTCTTAAGTTTGTTTCCATGTGTGAAAGTGTTGGTTTGTGTGCTTGCTGTTCCAGATTCCTGTAGTTGACACCTCAGATGAGGACAGTGCTGTTTTGTTGGTCTGGTTGAATTGCTTTTGTCTTATGTTCAATTCAAAAGCTTTTAAAGCTATCTTAACTTAATTTTGGCTTAGTGCACAAGGCTACACCATTTGTTTTTGACCCATTGCTGCATAATATTTCAAAAAATATTTTTGCACTATTAATTACAAATACAATCATGAAATTTTATCTTGCATATCTGTATTGAAGAATGATGACGCAATTTACACAGAGCTTTCTAACCCACAGTCTTTTACTTCTAATATTGTGTCAAAGAAAACTACAAATTTTTGATACATGTCCTTTATTTTCTGTAGGTGAACGAGACTATGGCTGCAAGTGTGAACGGCCACTTACCCAATAGCCTAGAAGATGCGGGTGAGAGTGAAGAAAAACCCATGCTCATTGTCAAGAAATCTGGTGACGGTCCAGGAATAACTGCCCTCATCAACAGGCAGTTGCAAGGTGAGTGCCATTGACTCAACAACACCACTGTCTAAAATATAATAATACACAATACCATATTTCTGTCACAGAAGTTAATGAGTTGCCCTCTATGTTAAATTGATTCTGCTCTTGTGGTATACTGTGAATTGATTTAATTCTACATTTTGCATCTCAACCTTGCTTAGTGTCTCAAAGTAGAGAAAGGCATTGAAAATTGTTTAGGACTGTCTTAGTCCAAAATTTGTCTTTTTATCAATATTTTTCGTTGTAGGTAGTGTTTTTTGTCTCACGCTTATGCTTTGCCAACAGCAAAATTTTGAGAGTCCCATTTTTAATTTGTTAGCAGGTTGAGTACTGTTTGTCCCCATGTGTGTCTGGGGCTGGACAGTCAACATGTTAATTGTCTGCTCATTTTTCTTTTTCCATGCATAATGTGTCGCAATCTGATTTCTTTTTGCTCGTGTAAAGATTTTTTTTTCTTTGCACTCTCCACCCTCCCTGGCTTTACCTATTTTATTTTGTTTGTCCTTTTGTTTTGTTATAGATGAGGGCTTTGTGTGTGAGCATGATCCCCTGTTGTCTAGTGCTGACCCCCTGCGCTGCACACAACTCCTGGCCCTGCGTTCCCAGCGAGATGCTGTTGCAGCTGCTGTAGCAAAAGCAAACGCTGCTGAAAGCTCGGAGGGAACTAAACAGGAGCTAGCTGACCAAAACCAAAATGATCTGCCTTGATTTGAATTGCAGAATCAGGGGAGTTTTGTGTGGTATACTATTGATTGTACTGATGCAAACTCTGTCATACAACATCTCTTGACTGATTTATCTTAGCTGGTTTTCCCCTAAATCAAACCAGCACGTAACTCATACCTTTCTTTGTTTGATGTTGTATGAGGACGTTGCAGCAATGCTGTACGTCTGGAATAATATACTGTCATGTTATTAATCAACAAAAGTCTGAAATGAGGGGTCTGCCTTTATTTATTTGTTTAAAAATCGTATATTTATTATGAATGTGTCCTATGTGCTTACTAATGTCAAAAGTGAGGCACAACACTGCTTCTAACTGCTTGTTACCCCACATCATGTATATTGAACTGTACTATAAATGTTTAATTTGTTACCTTGATCAGGGTGTAACGGGTTCTTTACAAGAGACTGATGTGCATTCTTCTGTTTGAGTATAGGAATTCACTCTCCTCTGAAAGAGTAGTAGGTCAGATATATTCTCTCATCTGGCTGTTAAGTAACTGTTTAAATGTGCATTTATTTATTTTTCGTCCTGGGTTGTATGTAACAGTATTTGAGACTTATAGTTTTAGTGATGTAATTATTTTTATTACCGCATACATTAAATCCATTTTAGTGCAGGCTGAGGGCCAATACTTATTAGGCTAGCTTGTATCCCCGTAATGTTAAATGTTTCAGTGCAATAATTATATGGGAGTAGAATCTCTGTTTTTAATTGAACCATAAACTTTCAATCTCTAGTCAATAAATACCCATCTTAAGGTACAAATCACTGTAATGTTCTGATAGAGCTACCATACAATTACTTACTCTATTGGAACAGGGATTAAACTCATCAAACCTCCCCTGCAATAGATTTAAAAAGCTAATCTGTGAATTGTTTCACCCAATCATAACAGTTACTTTGTTTTAAGTCTAATCATGTTCTTCAAGTTTTATCTCCATTGGTAAATATCAATTCAATAAAATTTAACATAATAAATCTTCATTTGCTAAGACTGTGTTAGTAATATCTGCTTCCAGCAGATCATCACCTATCTATTTCTGTCCATCAATGTCATTTGCTGGTTGAGTAAATTTTGTGTTATTTCTAAGAGTAATTGATTGTGCTCCTTGGTTTCTGTCCCATTAGGCATCCCTAGGATTAGGTACTATTACTGTGGTAAGTGTTTTCTCACTACTTTGTGTAGTGTGATGTAGCAGCATGCTTACCGGGTTTCATAATCCACATTCAGTTTGACTTCCTGCTGACTTTGGGCAAAGCACCTTTTGCACCTTTAAATTTTTTGGCTCCTGATAGTGACACTATGCACTTGTATTGTGTACAGCACTACATTTTTCCAAACATGTGATCAGGTGAACATCTTAATTGCTGTGTTCTTCTGCTATACTAAGCCATATCGTCTTAACTTCTATAATTTCACTGTGTACCCCTTATGTTCTTGCAGTAACAGCTGAGTACTGGTTGTTCTTTTTAGGTAAACTAGAATTTAACTGTGAATGTTTACCTTGATGATTTACTGATGCAGTCCTGCCCCAGAATATAAAAGTTTCCTTCATAATTTATTAGCTTGTTTACCTGGAGTTTTATTTGAGGATTTGCATGTCTTTTTAAATGTTTTTGAATACCATAATTTGATAATTTTTAGAAAACCTGCAGTATACTGATAATTTCTTGTTTCTTCAACTTTTTTCTTGTCTAGCTTTAAGCAGGTTGCACCTTGCACCTTTATTTCTTGTCTGGTTTCTTGTGAGTCTTTCTGAAGACATGGTGACCCTTGCACTACTATTTTAGTGTGTAAGCATAACAACTTTCTAAATGACCCACGAGGAGTTAGCATTGCTATAGTTATCATTTAGTCACTTGTTTTTCCAGAAATGTTTTCTAATAAGAAGTTAGCTGAAACAATCTCAATTTTCATCTTGTTGGAATTCTAAATTAACCTTCAACATGCTATGTTAATATTCTATCTGCTAATTTAATTTCCTCTCATCAGTCTAGATTATCCTGCGTCTGGTCTTTTCTTTCCTATCCACTCCTGGTCTTTTCTAATCTATTTTGCATGGTGATGAGCTTGCCGCTTCATATGTTTGCATGTCTCTTTTTTTCATGGTCTAATTCAAATTGTCTTGCATGAAGTCTCACAAAAGTGTAAGGAAATTCCAACGTGCTGTTCGTTCATCGTGGGCTCGGTGAGCTTTTGTTAGTTGTGAGTCTTCTCTTCTGTAATACTGGAACACAAATTATAACACCGAAAATTTGGACTCAATGGCCTAGTTAACTGCTTCCTGGCAAACTGTGTTACTTCATGCAGGAGGCATCCCATTTCTCTTTGACTTCACCTCAGTACTAAATATAAGCATATGCACGCGTCAGTCAAATTTTTGTCATTTTGTGATTCAATTTAAAGTTAATTTTTTAAATGTTTGCAGCTGCAGACCCAAATGCGTGGCGATTAGGAAGAATAGAAGAAACTGACCATGAAACTCCAGTGTAGTGTTTCCTAAGGACCACACATGGACCAACCAAGCAATACGACTATAAGCCTGCTGTTTTGCTGTCTGTTTCAACTCAGAGTATCCTGGAGAAAGAGAACCTTGTTTTGCTTGGGGTGAGCTACCAGTAACTGTTCATTACAATTTTTGTAATTTAATGACAACATTTTTGAATTCTCTATTTATTTCAGTGCTGTTGTTATTGATTCTGCATTACTATGAGGGTGTGTGTTCTGTAATCTGGCCCCCACATCACAACCTACCCTTAACATGTTGACTTTACCCAGTGAAACAGTTTCTCTACTAGTACAATCTGAATCTAGTCTTCCCTGCTAGCTTTATAATACTCAATTGTATAAAGCCATTTTACTTTCAAAAAAGATTGTGTTATCTAAATGAATGTGCACATTGCTTTGTTGTGAATAAAGTAAAAGCCTTATTCACCTTCCATGCAACTGTAAATGCTCACATTTGTGTTAACAATGCCTCTCTTACTTATTTTTATTTTTTAATCATCGTCTTTGTTTCAGTATTAACCCAGAGATTAACCCCTAGCAAGGCTGCTTCTGTATGTGATTAATATGAAATAATTGTGTGTAACTTACTGTCAAGTTAAGATTGTTGAGTGTTGAGTATTATACAGTTAAACTAAACAATATTTTTTGTATTTTACATTATGTGTTTGGAAGCTCACAGTCTGTGATTTGCTGAGTGACCTTTGTACTTACTTGTTCAGAAAACTAAGTAATTGTTATGTGTCCCTAAATTATCACTTACTTCCTTTCTGTCGGACTATGTTGTGTTTACTGCAGCTTAACTAGGCAGCTTCTATCATCTTGAGGCATACAAAAATAAAAAAAAAAATGTGATAAAGAATTTTAGGTATAACAAATATAAGTAAGTTTGGGATCAAAAGGAACTATAGCAGAAAAATATGTCAAGAGTGAAGAGAAGCAAAAGAATGTTGCCCCTGTTCAGACCACACAAAGGATACCTCTGGAGTTTCAGGCAAAACTAGACAACTTTCAAGTTTGATACAGAGTTAATAAATAATGAGGACTGCCTTCTCTGCTGCAAGTGTTGTGTTGCCACAAAATGTAATCATGTGTTTCTTGACTGTTTTGTGCGGGCTCCAAAATAGAAAGTTAATACAACTGTCTGATTGGCATCAACATGTTTCCTCGCATGAAGTTAAGTAAAATTCAAAAGTGATGTGTGTTCTAGCAGGTTTGAATGATGATTAGTTATATAGTTTTAAGAGTTGAATGGTTTCCATGATATGAATGAACCATATTGATGTTGCATGTTGTCTATATATTTTAGAAAAGATTCTCAGATATACTCTTAATATTTTATAATTAATGTTTTAACTTGAACTAGAAAAACTTTCTAAAAACTGTTTCATTATGAGATTTATTGTGTTAATTTTACTGTGGAAAAAATTTCTAGGCAATCTTTCTGATGTTAAATATTACAGCAACATAAAAGTTACTTTCGGTGGTAGTAAGTTAAGTTTTATTTTTTTACCAATCTGCATTTCTGCAATTATAGTGAACATATATTTTGTTGTTGTGTACAGACTTAATAAAGTAAAAGAATAACTTTATGGAAAAAAACTATCAATCTGTATCAATGCACTCTTCTTTTGTGCATTAGTTGAGTTACAAACTATCCATTCTAAAGGGAAACAAATGGATTGGGATTAGATTTGTTGCATTGTTGTTGCCCCTAATTACGAGAAAAATTAAGTCTTCATTTGTGAATCAATTTTTGTGCTTCTCTTTGTTAAGATTTTTTACTTTGAAGAAGGAACTGTCTTGTCCTTTTTTTGTATATTATGCTCTTGCAATTTTCAGTAAAGCAGATTTGGAGAGAGGCTGTTCTGACATGAGTATTGAATCCTCTGTAAAGAAAATAAGTCATAGAAAAAATAGGCCCTAATTAAGCAAATTGTTGCATTGTTTTTTTTTTTTCAATGTGCTGAAAAATTTGGATTTTGCTGCCAATATAGGGCACATGTGGTAACTAAGAATAAATGCTTACTTTTTATCTGTCAAATGTATAATCTCTTAATTCTTTAGTAACTAAAAGCTTGTTTACTAGCAACTTCTTTGAGGACCTGTATGAGTCATGACAATCAACATGAGTATTTAGATTACCACAAGCTACCTTACATGCAACTCACAGTAAACAAAAATAGTAGCATAAAATTAACTGGGGAAAATATTATTAACCAGTGAAGATAAGACACAAGGAGAGATTGCGTACTGTTATCTTAAAACTTACCGTTCTAGATTCTATTCAAAAATGTGATGTGGCAAATATAGACATAAAGAAAAATGATATTGTATTAAAAGTAAATTTTTAATGAGAATGTGGAGGTATTCTGGTATATTTGTTTTCAAATTAAGTTTTTTGTGGTTTGAATGGTTATTTGTTTTATACAAAATAAAAAAAACAACAACTTATGTTTGTTTTTAAAATGAGTCTGCAGCGGCGACAACTCGAACCCGAATTTCTTAGCAGACATCAGCATACGGCCGGCCCTGCTTCCTTCTCCTTCAGCAGTCCTCGCGAGGCTCGGCTGCCTCCTTCCGTGGAGTCAGGTGGAGTTCTCAATTGTGCACCTCCTGGATGATCCCCCCCCCCCCCACACACACAACTGTAAACAGAGGCCTATACACAAGGGGCCGCCTACGAGCCACACAGACAGCCCGCGCACGGACTGCCTACCCTCCAGGCGCTCTCAGCAGCCACAGCACTTCCCTAGCGTTGCCCCCGGCAGCCACCTCAGCAGCGGGAGGCATCCCCAAAGGATCACATCCCGGACAAGCGAGGCGGTAATGCCTACCGAAGGCGCCCTCGGCCTCAACTCTTCCCTGAGATGGGAATTCCCCATAGAGTCCGAGGACTCTAGTTCCCCACTGCGGCCACATGTTGCATGTGTTGGGAGCCCCATAAAGAATCACATCCCGGACATGCGTGACCACGGTTTGTCGTTCAGTGTCCTCGTCTGATCAAAACTTCCGTAATTATTATTTCTCTCCCTCTTGCCGTGGCAGTGGCCTCTCCCCTACCCCTTCTCCTCCTCGATCCGGCATTTCCCGCGCCTTTATGGAAACGTAAACAAACAGTGGAAATCGGTCTTCTGCTCAATACCGATACCGATAATACCTACCCATTTAATTGATGATCATAGGATTTAAATCAGAATTTTAGAGCGAACGGCTCCGCGTTTGATATTTATTGCAAGGTGTAGTGCTTAATGTTTCCGGTCCGGAATATTGAATTGTTCTGTCCCGGTTATTAGGAGGTTAGGCCCTTACAGACAGATATACACAAGTTGTAAGTTGTTTTTTGAGGCCGAGTGATGATCCCGTGATGTAAATGTAAACTTGGCTCTTTGTTGAAAAGGTGTTGAATGCAGTATTGTTGTAGGTCATTAGCAAATGGGTTAACTGTACGGTTTTATCATACATCATATATTTTACTCTGCATTATCCTCAAGGGACAGAAAAATGTATTACTTTCTGGTTGGGGTGCAAACTGAGAGGCTCTATTTGCATAATCCCCCAAACAATCAATCAATGTGCGTTGCAGTTAAATTTGCGGCTGCCCCCATCCACTACTGTCCTATTAATTGTGGAAAAGGTATCAGGGAGTGGGAGATGTGCACAGCCCAGTATGTGTTGTATTATTATATACTCATTATTTATTTATTTTTATTTATTTGTAATCTAGCTTTTGACGGAGCATTACAAAGTTAATATACACAATAAAATGTTCTATTTGGAGTTGGCAAAATCATTGTTAAAAAAAACCTCTGTTATTATTGCTAGTAAACACCTCTTCTGCACAGTTTTAAATATCTTCTCATATTCGATATTCTTGACTTCCTGAGAGGGAGGTGGTTGAATAGTCCCCTCTCAATACGATATAGATTGATTTTTTCAAATTCACCTCGGTATTTCTTTCTGCCCGGTAGTCTTTTTTCCCTCAGAAAGGAATACTGTGGTGAGTTGAGTTAT